ACAAGAATAATAATGAATTAATGAGTCGACGAGACCGGTCGATCGAGAGGCTTCCTCGATGGATCGCGAACGAGGACGAGCTAGCTCTCTTTTCTATGCTCATTGCATTATCCTTTCAGAACCATCCGGTCACACTGCCCCAAAGGGGACTGGAGACGGTCTTAATAAGTACCGCGGGGTAGAGGGCGAGTCTCTGGCTCTGGCGTGTGCGGCACAAGGCTTTCCTGCCCCGATAACTAGGTACACACCTCCGATAGTTTTCTTCCCTCTCTTTCTTTATTCAAACTTTCTCTCTTTCTCTATCATTTTCTTTACTTATTATTTTTTCTTTCTTTTTACCTTCCCTCCTTTCTCATTAGTCTTTTATTCTCCTATCCTTCAAGGAATCCCTTTTTCTCTTTCAAAATTTTTCCTTACCCTCTACCCCGTGTCGGGTGGCGGTACCGCAAGAGGATCGATTAAAAAAAAAAAAGAAAGATATAGAAAAAGTGCGATTAATAGATAAAAACAAAAAAAAATTGTTTCTTACAAATTAGAAACAAACTCAAAGTATTAACAAGGATCTATACATCGACAAGTTCGCGAAAAAGGGAGAAAAGAAGGTTGGGTTTTAGATAGTATTGTTTTGAATAAATGCTGGAGAAATAAAATCATACTAGTCTAGTTTCTTTTTCTACTTCTTCACTGTGAATCATATCCTCTGTTATATAACAGGACGGTTTTTTGTATTATTTTTTTTTGTAAATATCCATTAGATCTTAAATTTGACAATTTTGATGTGATCGATGATAGATAAAGAAACGTAAAGTTTGAATAATTATACAAATCCGAAAGAGTTGCTAGATGAGAATAAAAAAGAAAAAAAAGAAATAAAAGAAAAGATGAAAAGAGAATGGGTGGATGGATGGATGGAAGGAAAAAAGGAAGGAAGGAAAGACGTAAGATAATGAATTGACACAATGTATGTTCGTCATTCGGGGTGAGCCAATCGGACGTGTTGGTTTTCAGTGCCAACTGGATCCTCGCGGTGCAACTCCGAGATAGGTGACAGAAGCAATAGCGCGACTTCGAAAAGGATGCGGACCCTCTTCTCCTTTGGTAACCTCGGTGCTGATACGGGTGGACCGAGTGGGTGTCACCCGATCATTTGGGGCGAACAATGTTGCCTTGCACCTCTACACACCTCCAATAAGTCCCACGATATCTGGCTGGTAAGTCCTCGCCACCTTCGTGCCTCCGTTCACCCATTCTTATTGCTCATTCCCTTTGACGTCACGCAAAACCTTTCTTCATTTCTCTCTCTCTCTCTCTCTCTCTCTCTCTCTTTCTCTCGCTCTCTCATTCACTCGTTCACTCTCTCATTCTTTATTTGTCGAGCAACGAAGAAACCACAAATATAGTATAAAATAAAAAAGAAAAGAAAAAATAATACTTTTCGTAGTCATCATTATATTTTATAAAAACGTTTCCGTCGCGATTTTGATCAAGTCTCTGATATGATAGTTGTCAACCGAGATATCGAAATGCTTTTGTCGACATTTTTCTTTGACAAAAAAAATAAACTTCAAATATCCGACCATACCTCGTGTGTGTTCGTTCTCTTTCTTTCTTTCTCCTTTCTTTCGATATCACGGAACAATTTCGTGTATTCTTAATCATTATTATTATTTCTTGCACGAAAAGGGATCCCCTTTTATACCATTCTATTTAAATATTATGCGAATAATTCTCTTTTTTCAATGATGTGAGAACGAGCAGTGATCAGTTACATCGGAAGAATGATTACAATTTTACAATTCTTTCCCATTATTCTATAAATTCTCTAACCATTAACATTGAAAAATATTATATCATTAAAAGTGAACGATTATTCTATTACATAGTTAGCACATTTTATACAGAGTGTTCGATTTGTTTCTTCCATCAGCTGACTGAATATGTTTCCATCGTTCCCGTTTTTCTATGGTTTCGTTGTTTTATTTTTCTTTTTTTATCTTTGAAGTACTCTAGCCGCAAGTCAGAATATCGATAATTGATAAACGTTGATGGTTGCGTTGCATATCGATTAAAATTTGAAAAAAAAAAAAAAAATAGAAAGAAGGAGAAAAAAGAAGGCAAGAGATAATATGCAGCTATCCTTTCGCACTTGCTTTCACGCTTATATCGTTTTTCTCTTTTTCTCTCTCTCTCACTTTTCTCCATTGGACATTACATACACAGCGTACACTTAACATATACACATTTACATAGATAATATACGTAGATACGTATATACAGTGTTGGTTCGGTGCACACACCCACTCGTTTTCCCTTTGCCTTCGTTGTACGTGTTTATTTCCATGCACATAGACCTTTTTTCTATTGTGTCGTATTTGTCACTACTATTGTACCCTTTTCTCCTTCCAACTTCCAACAGCCTATTTTGCTTCGTGATTGTTACATTTCACTAGCTTCTCAAAACGTTTCTCTATGACTTATATGAAAGTAGATAGAGTTTCGCGTATCGTGATACACGCGCCACTGATTCGATGTTAAAAAAAAGAAAAAAAGAAAATGGTACAAAAGAGAAGGATAAATTGGAAGCCCGTGCCCAGAGACGCCCCCGAAGCCCTTCTATATTATAAGAAAAAGAAAATACTGGAGAATGGAGCAAATGGATAGACTCTTTTCCAAGTTTTAAATCAATTTCATTGTAATATTTGGGTCATACACGTTATAATTAAGTTGATTGTTAGATTATCTCGTTATCGTAATAATATTTTATAATTACGTTATTACTTACTTAAATCTTATGATCAAAGTTTGAAATTTATTTTTTAAATACCATTTGCTCCAACTCATTTTAATTCACATAAGATAAAACTCACAGTATCAATTTCGTATACTTGGGTTGATAGTCTTAAAAGATTTGAGTTTAATTGGGTCGAGTGCTGACACGTGAATCGATCATTTGTTATTATTTGCTTACAGATGGTACAAGTTTATCGAAGGTTCATCCCGTCGTCAACCTGTTCAGCTGAATGATCGTGTTCGTCAGGTTAGCGGTACTCTGATCATTCGTGAGGCTCGTGTTGAAGATTCTGGCAAATATCTTTGCATCGTTAACAATTCCGTTGGTGGTGAAAGCGTGGAAACTGTTTTGACCGTTACTGCACCGCTTGCCGCTGAAATCGAACCCAGCACCCAGACAATTGATTTTGGAAGACCAGCTACCTTCACTTGCAACGTTAGAGGCAATCCGATTAAGACGATCTCATGGTTGAAAGATGGAAAGCCACTTGGACTTGAAGAACCAGTACTCAGGATTGAAAGTGTTAAGAAGGAAGATAAGGGAATGTATCAATGCTTCGTTAGAAATGACCAAGAAAGTGCTCAAGCTACCGCTGAACTGAAACTTGGAGGAAGATGTAAGTTTCCTCTATAAAATAAAAAAACCTTGTAAAGAAATAAATATTGCATTTATATGAACATTGTGTTTGCTTTTGATAGTCGAACCACCACAGATCCGTCAAGCTTTTCCCGAGGAGACTCTTCAACCCGGACCCAGCATGTTCCTAAAGTGTGTTGCCAGCGGAAATCCTACACCTGAAATCACCTGGGAACTCGATGGAAAACGGTTATCCAACACGGAAAGAGGACAAGTAGGACAATACGTTACGGTCAACGGTGATGTCGTCTCTCATTTGAACATCTCTAGCATTCACACCAACGATGGAGGTCTTTACAAGTGTATTGCTGCATCAAAGGTATATAAATACTATCTTTTTATCTTCATCTTTTAAATGAACTCGACAGATCTTATTCATTAGGCACAATCCTATACTTTATATAGTGAACAATATAAGGAATGATTATCTCCGAAATTACTTCAGATATTAAGAAATCTTTTTGGATCTTTACGTGTAGTATTCAAATCTAAATATTTCCGTATGTGTGTTGATGTTAATTGTGAAACGAATGAATAGATTAATGTGTGAAATTAATACTAAAAATATGTTTACAACAAAAATTTGTTATTTAAATTCGATTCGACATTTAACTTTGAAATAATGGGAATTATAACAATGAAAATAGTCATGTATGCACCGAAAATAATAAAAAAGTGTTATAGTCATTGACGTGAATTATAAAATATCAGTTGTTCCTACTGAGAAAAAGCTTCGATTGAAAAAGTGCTTATTTTCTATCATGCTTATTTATAGGTTGGCTCTGCTGAACATTCTGCTCGTCTCAATGTTTATGGCTTACCATTTATTCGTCATATGGACAAGAAAGCTATCGTTGCTGGTGAAACTCTACGTGTTACTTGCCCGGTTGCTGGTTATCCCATCGAAAGCATTGTCTGGGAACGTGATACCAGAGTACTTCCCATTAACAGAAAGCAAAAGGTCTTCCCCAATGGCACCCTTATCATTGAAAACGTCGAACGAATGAGCGATCAGGCTACGTACACATGTGTTGCCAGAAATGCACAAGGATACAGCGCTCGAGGAACATTGGAAGTTCAAGTTATGGGTAAGTTTCAAATATTCATTTATTTTCTTTCATCGTGGATCGTATGATATCTTCGTTTTTATATAAATTCATTTTCCAAATTTATTCAATCGTAATATAGAAATATATGCGATTTTAATAGTATTTTTTTTCAAGTACTTTTTCAAGTATTATATTATAATACTTGAAAATATTTTTTGAAATTAAAGTGTTGTTTTATTAAAACTATTTTTGTAATATTGACAGTTATTTGTTCAAATTTACAATACATTCGTTAACCTTTTAAGTGGAGAACAGTAAAATAATAATTTGCGCTTTACGCAATTATTAACTTTATTCCAAATATACAGAGTATCTTGTAACTGGTAATACAAGCGAGCAGAGGGTGATTCTACATTTTGACTTTGTTTTCGAAGAAAATAAGTTTAATTAAAATCGTACTCGACAAATTTCAAAAACAATTATGTTTGTTTTTTTATATAGAATCAGCCCCTGCTTGTGTAAACCACCAATTATAGAATACCCTGTATATTCCTCAATAAAAAAAAACCATTAATATATCGAATTAATATTTACCTGCGTTGTTTTACTAGTATCTCGAGTTAGTTCGTTATCTTCAGTTGAAAGGTTAAAGAATTTGAAATAATAATAATGAATTATATTTAAAAAAATTGTCGATTTTTGCGTATAACTCGATTGAAATGTTTAGTTTAAAACCTTAGATGTAATAACATTATATTGCAGGACTCAAAAGGATATAATTTATGTTATGTGTAGCGATCGTGTTGAAAGAGCAAACAAAAAGATATTTTTCTTTCAGCTAGCATTCGTACGATAGACGCCAGTTTCAATCGAGAAAACATACTGGCAGATTCGATTACGTTGTCGTTTTGTCACCCTACGTCGCCGATCATTTAATTTCAAAATATATTTTGTCGATCAATCCGTGAATCTCGCGTGCATAAAAGATTGTACGTGGTTATGTTATGTATTATACATACATCGATGAGGACGCGGATAGCAAAGCTCCGTTAAAGATATTGCAGACTCTATAATTAAAAGGCGAGACAAAAGCGTGCCGTACCCAAGGAGTCTTTCGTTGGAAGTTGGTATGGCGGTGGCCGACAAGCGGATCGTAAGAAATTAAATAGATACACATCTTCTTGATTAAAATTTCTCTCTTTTTTTCTTTTTCTCTCTTCGCGATTTAACCAAACAAAAAGTATATAAAAGAAAAAAAAAAAAGAAAAAGCAAAAAGCAATAAAGTATCGTGCGTTATGTATTTTTTGTTCAGGATTTTGTAGACTTTCGATCGATAACGTAATTGCAATTAATCGCGCATTATTTATAATGTATCAATTTAAGAAATAGAAAAAAAGAAATAGAAGAAAAAATGAAATAATTATTATTTTAAAAACGAGATTAATTAGACGCGTACGCGATCTGATCATACATATACATCCATACATCGATCCTCAAACCTCAGTGCCACCCACGATACAAGAGTTCGCGTTCATGAAGCTACCAATGAACGCCGGAGAGTTCGCGAATCTGCAATGTATCGTGCCGACTGGCGATCTGCCTCTGAACATACGTTGGAGCTACCCCGGAGAAGAGATGGGCGGTTCTTCCGGCGTGCTCGCAAAGAAGGTCGCGGATCGCGTTAGCATGCTTATGATCTCCGTCATCACCGCGAAGCACGCGGGAGAGTACGTTTGCACCGCTGAAAACGCGGCTGGGACGGCCTCCTACTCGACCGCTCTCACCGTCAATGGTTCGGGACTATGATTTCTCAGCCTAGACAACTCCTTTTTTTTATATTTTTCTTCTTCTTCTTCGTCTTCTTATTAAATTTTATTTTTTAATTTTTTTTTTTTAATTTTTTTTTAATTTTTTTTAATTTTTTTTTTATTTTTTTTATTTTTTTTTTTTCTATGCACAGTTACTTCCGCAGCGTGCACAGTAGGTAACCTTGTCCTTTCTCTTGTTCTTTATTCCTTATGTTCCATCGATCGCTTTCCACTTAATATGTCTGGACACTTTACCAGCTACCTTTTTTAAGCCGTCATCGTGAATCGAATTAAAATTGTAGTATTTATGTTGCGGAATGTGAAAATGCGAACGGTATAATTAAATCTGACTGATGTTGGACTTTTGTAAAGTCAGCCCGCAGCTTCTACCGATCGCATTCAATACCGAAGTTGCCAACTGGGGAGATTTCGTGTCGGTGCCTTGCTCGATACTGAAAGGCGATATGCCTATGGATATATCTTGGTCATTCAATGGTGTACCAATTGACACGTCAAAAGACACTGCTATCACGATATCAAAAATCAGCAATCATCTTAGTACATTGAGCATTGATAGCGTTTCGGCGAGACACGCCGGAGAATATGCCTGTTCCGCGTCAAATCTCGCCGGTGCAGTCAGTCGATCTGCGACCTTAACTGTAAACGGTACGACTCTCTCCATCTTTTTTAACATACTCTTTTTTTTCTATCTTTCTTCTCTTCTTCTTATATCACCAAAAATAAATATCTATTCCCGTCCCAGGTTCCACAGCGTTGCGGCCATCATTCTTTTTCTTTATACCGCCATACCAAGTTCCTCTTTAGCACTAGTAATCACGCGTTCACCGGTCTATATAACCTACGGTGAACATTTCTAGCGTGACCAGACTCTTTCTATAGCTCTTTCCAGTTGCACCGCAAATCATACCCTTCGATTTTGGTGACGAACCCGCGAATTGGGGCGAGCTCGTATCGGTGACATGCTCGATAACGAAAGGCGATCAACCTCTCGACATATCCTGGGCCTTTAACGGGACACCTATCGACACCAGCCGCGGATCCGACGTGGTGATAGGAAGCACAAACAGGAAAAATAGCGTTTTGACTATTGAATCGGTCGCGGCTAGACACGCGGGAGAATACACCTGTTCCGCTTCGAATCGCGCTGGTGCTACATCTCACACGGCTCTTCTCACAGTAAATGGTATTTACGCGCGTGAACTCTCGTAAGAATGATCTCCGTCCTTAATCATTTACTTTTATCAATCATGCTTTCCCTGCAACTTCTATACTTCATTACCTATCCAATGTTTCCGGTCGGATCAGATCACTTCACAGGATATGTTTTTCTTTTTGTTAAACAATTATTTTTATTTAACGTTTCGATAAGCTTGCTTGCTTACTTGACGAATTTCTTTCTTAATTTTCATGATTTCCGTCTTTGATTTCTTTTTTTCCATGCATCTCTCTATCATACCGAACGTAGGTCTAATAAATGAGACATCGGAGACACGTGCGTAATCCGTGAATCAGACGCGAGAACCATCGCGTTCGGATTTGTGAAAAGTCAGCTGCTAACACGTACACGTTATCTACTTTCGATCATCATCATCATCATCATCATCATCAACAACAACATCATCATCCATTCCGAAATCTTTTTCTCATCGTACTCTTTCGTCCGTGCTGCCGTGTCGTTCGCGCAGTCGCACCGCAGATTCTTCAGTTCAGTTTTGGCGACACCTCTCTCAACTCCGGCGAGATGCTGTCTGTTGCTTGTACGATCGTCAAGGGTGACTTTCCGGTGACATTGAGATGGACATTCAACGACGTCCCTATAAACTCGTCCCAACACGATATTCATATCGTATCTAGTAAGAGGGTCAGCTTTTTGAACATCGACAATGTGGCTGCGAGACACGCTGGGACGTACAAGTGCATAGCGACCAATACAGCAGGCTCCGACAGTCACACGGCTATTCTCTCGGTGAACGGTACACCGCGCTTCCGTTAAAGATTTTGCTACCTTGCAAACACTTTTAGTATTTATCCTCTTGTAAACTTTTTTGTAATCCGCAGTAAATCTACATAGAGTACTAATTCTTTGTTGGAGGTCAGAGTACATATTATGCATAAACGTATATATCTAAATCTGTGTACTGCTGTTGTCTTTGCATTCACGTTCAAATTCATAACTGATTATTTTAAATTTGATAAAATGATTCTAATAGAATATATAAGACAACGGCAGGAAAAACGTAACACGATCCATCGTATGAGGCGATGGCACGCGTTACTCATTTTATTTTCTTCGTATCGCTTTATCATATACATATGTATATATATATACTTACACACATATGTATATATATATGTATATATAATTTTTTTAATGTCTTGAATATTTAAACAAGCCTGGAATCTGCTGTCGTGTTTCCACGTTTTCCAACATCCCACAACTCCCTTCTTGCGGAAGCTTCTTTCGAGGTATCCATGGCTACATGCTAATGACGTAAATAGTACTTGAATATCGTGCTGCGTAGAGTGCACAGCTTTGAATATTCATAGACGTACGTACTACGACTACCAGCATTATCCCAAATGTCACTTTGTCCGTTAAATTCTCCGTTTTTGTAATCTTTAAGACCGTCCCCTTCTCTCTTCGACAGCTCCTACGCGTGTTTTCAGGATCTGGTCTATTTTTCTCTGGAGTTTTTATCAATTTACAGTGGCACCACAGATCGGGCCCTTCTCGTTCGGCGACGAAGCCGCTAACGCGGGAGAAATGGCGACCGTTCAGTGTGCCGTAATAAAAGGTGATTTGCCTGTTGACATTGTTTGGTCGTTGAACGGTCAGCCGATCGACGTTTCGGGCGCGCAGACGAATCAGAATTACGATCGTCAGGATATTATTGTGAACAGAAGCAACAAACGGGCCAGCACTTTGACGATCGATTCGGTAGCCGCAAGACACGCGGGTGAATATTCGTGTACTGCGAGCAACGCAGCCGGATCCGCCACGCACTCCTCGGTACTTACTGTTAACGGTACGATTTGCCTTTTTCCTGTAAACATCGAAATCGATTAACTGGGTGGTTGGTCGGTCGACTCGATAGTTTTTATAGCTCATCTAAAATTAGAGTAATGTGTGGTAACAGACACTGAGGAACGAGGACTTGTGTGTGGTGTAAAACGAACAATGATCCCTTATCCTATACTAAAGATATTCTTTAGCCTACAACCAATTCTTACACATTCCTTTCGATAGGTTGCTTTTGGCCAGATAGTCGAGATCTTATTCACGATCATTATATCCTTGAACGATATCTTAAAAAATAGACAGTATCGATCTCTGGGTATAATTGGCAGTATCGCCGAGGATTGCACCCTTCGAAATGGCCGACAAGGCTGTCAATTCAGGAGAATCGGTATCAGCTGTTTGCACCATCGTCAGCGGTGATTCTCCGCTCGAGATTACATGGGCTTTAAATGGAATGCCGGTCGAGGAGAGCCAACGAATCTCTGTGACGACCACCAAGAGGAACAGTCTTTTATCGATCGATTCGGCGAGCCCTAGCCATGCCGGAACTTATACTTGTGTCGCTTCGAACGCAGCCGGAGCAACGACTTATTCCGCGGAATTAACCGTGAACGGTACTTTACCAAGATTAGATCAAGCGACTCAGCATAAGGAACGTCGACCTATCCAATTATCTTTCTTCCTTACTTTTTTTTTTCTATTTTTTCCTTTTTTCTTCGTAGGGATTCTCTTCGGTGTCTTCCTTTTCCTCTTCCTTTTCGCTAGGCATATCTCACAATAAGGGCGCAAGGTATAAAACGAAACGAAATTGTAGTTGAGAAATATCGTGTGTTTGTTCACACTTATTCCAGTCTCACCAGAGATCGCTCTTTTCGATATCGGGGGAAAGCCAGCGAACTGGGGAGACTCGATTACCGCTGTATGAGCCATCGTGAAGGGTGACGTGCCAATCGAGATCTCTTGGGCACTGAACGGCGAGCCAATCGGTCCTGATAGCTCAGACATCAATATCGTAGCAACTACACGAAAAAATAGTATTCTCAGCATCGAGTCGGTCGCCGCGAGGCACGCAGGAGAGTATACTTGTTCAGCCTCTAACAAAGCTGGAGCAACGAGCCACTCCTCGACTCTGGTTGTTAATGGTACGAGAATTGCCAAGTAATCTTTGCATCCTCTTTTTATTCACCTACACATCTTTTTTATTTCTATTTATCCAATAATTCACATCGCCCCACTGTTTTCATTGATCTATTATCGGATCGGTCTTCTCTTTGGTGTCGAAGCAACTTTTACGTATTAGGAGGAGCTGCTATAACGACGACGAAGATTACATTATATTAATAATTTGAAAAAAAAAAAACTATTCTTTTGCCTTGATTTAGTCGCACCCGGGATAGCACCTTTCGTTATGAGCGAAACACCGTCGAACTGGGGTCAAACCGTTACCGCGACTTGCACGATTCTTCAAGGTGATCAGCCTGTTCAAATTGAATGGGCACTCAATGGCAAACCGATCTCTCACGATTATCCTGATATATCGATCGCAACCACCAAACGCGTTAGTCTGCTCACCATCGAAGCAGTAACTGCAAGTCACGCTGGCGAATATACTTGTGTCGCTAGTAATGTGGCTGGTGGAACGAGTTATACCGCGACATTAGCCGTTAACGGTACAATAACGTTTTCCGTTTATACGTTTCTGCTACTCGTATCTGCATGTCACGGATTAGTCCATCGTTCGACATTTCTCCTTCTTCCTTCTTTCATATTATCCTTTTCTAATCCTCTTTTTCCTTCTTATCCAATTATTGGGAAAACAAAAATTGTCATCTTTCTAATTATTGCAGGTTTGTTGATCGATTTTTAAGGAAGCACATGTCTTGTAGCGAAGATTTATAATCATTTTAGGGGGATAAAGTTGGATAGTAGAAACAATATTTTTGATGACACTTTTTCTTATGATAGTCGCTCCGGTGATAATGTCTTTCGAAATGGGAGAAGGACCAACAAACTGGGGCCAAACCGTTACCGCAACTTGCACAATCCTTCAGGGTGACCAGCCTATCCAAATGGAATGGGCTCTCAATGGCAAGCCGATCTCTCACGATTATCCCGATATATCGATCGCAACTACCAAACGCGTCAGCCTGCTCACAATCGAGGCGGTCACGGCAAGTCACGCCGGCGAATATACTTGCATCGCTAGTAATATAGCTGGAGGAACGAGTTATACCGCGACATTAGCCGTTAACGGTACAAATACGTTTCGCTGCTCGTGTCTGCATGTCACGAATTAGTCCATCATTCGACAGTTTTCTTTTTATTGTTCCTATTTTTTATAGATATTTATCCTCTTCCTAATCTATTTTCTCCTTCTTATCCATTTGTCACTTTAATTAAGATTTTGGTTCGTCTAGTTATTGCAGGTCTGTTCAGGAAGCAAATATTTTATATCGAACAATTAGTTACTTTGGGGTCAATCAAATAGTAAAAACGATATTTTTTGATGTAACATTTTCGTGATAGTCGCTCCGGGGATAATGCCATTCGTAATGGGAGAAGAACCAGCAAACTGGGGTCAAACCGTTACCGCGACTTGCACCATCCTCCAAGGTGATCAACCTGTACAAATCGAATGGGCTCTTAATGGCAAGCCGATCTCTCATGATTATCCTGATATATCGATCTCAATCACCAAACGTGTCAGCGTACTTATGATCGAAGCAGTTACTGCGAGTCACGCTGGCGAATATACTTGCATCGCCAGTAATGTGGCTGGTGGAACAAGTTATACCGCGACGTTGGCCGTTAATGGTACAATAACGTCTTCCGTCTATATATTATCGCTGTTCGTGTCTGCATGTCACGAATTAGTACATTTATTTCTTTATAGTCAGTTTCCTTTTTCCTTATTTTATCTTTTCCAATACTTTTCCTTTCTTAAGCCTCTTTATCCTTTTTATCCACTAGTCTATCGACTTGTGACAGATTTGTGGATTATTCGTAAGAAAGGAGATATTGTATATTGGACATTCAATTACTTTGGGGTATATCGAATAGTAGAAACGATATTTTTCATATAACTTTTTCACGATAGTCGCTCCGGTAATAATGCCGTTCGAAATGGGAGAGGGACCAGCGAATTGGGGAGACACCGTAACTGCCACTTGCACCGTGCTGAAAGGCGATCGTCCTGTACAAATCGAGTGGGCTCTCAACGGTGAACCGATTTCTCGCGATCGTTCGGACGTATGGATTAATACTAACGAACGCGTTAGTCTGCTCACAATCGATGCGGTTACAGAGAGACATGCCGGAGAGTATACTTGCATAGCCAGCAATGTTGCTGGTGGAACCAGTTATTCCGCATCTTTAGCTGTGAACGGTAGAACGATTTATGCGTTTCACTTAGTTTTTTCTAGTTTTCTGTAGCATCCATGCATGTACGGAATTGTTGTTGTTGGCTGCGTTCATTTCAGCGGATAAACAACACTAATGCGATCCTTTGTTCTATCCTTCACTTAACACGGTAGGATCGTTCGCTTTGGAGATGATGCTCTAAATATATATTTCGCAAAATAAAATCCTTTGAACAAGTTCAGAATCGGTTGATTTACTCGTGTCAGGATAATTTAGGTTTCTTTCTTCTATAGTAAATTTATAAAGAAACGTTAATCTTTCGTACCATTAATATGATCTTATATTAGATTCACAATTAACGTTGTCATTTTAGTGGTACCTCATATAGGTCCTTTCTCGATCAGTGACGGTCCTGCGAATTGGGGCGACATGGTCTCGGCAACGTGCTCCATCATGAAGGGCGATTTTCCCGTAAAGATTGTTTGGAAGTTTAATGACAAAACTATAGGCCCAGATGATTCAGATATTACGATAACGAAGATCAATAAACACATGAGCGCATTGAGCATCGAGTCGGTGACTGCAAGACACGCGGGCGAGTATACTTGCGTCGCCACAAACCGAGCTGGCAATGCCACTCACTCGACCATCCTGGCTGTTAACGGTACCAATCTTTTGAAAGCACGCTTGCACGATAATTCAATGTGTTTTGCACAGCACATACATACCTATCCATCATCCTGCCATTGGGCCTTATGTTTTCTTTTATTTTATGATTATTTATACCGTTAAAATTTTTGCACTCGGTGGTATGGGATGACGAAATTTCGAACTATTTCAATTTAGATATTTGAAAAATTGTATTTTGTGGTCTTGTTTAGAGAAACAAAATTTTTGTCCGTCGACAACAAGCGTGCTCTATCAATCACCCACCCGTCCATCGATCCAGATTTTGTTTTACCATGAGACTAATTATCCGCTCTTAAGGGAAATATTTTTCTGGACTCGAAAATACGCGACGAGGAAAATTAAACCATTTGGATAGAAACCTTAGTATTCGATGAATTTTATTTGATACATTTAGAGACAAATGTTGACTTGTTTTTCGATTGACGACAAGCATGTTCTATTAGTTGCACCGCAGATCTTTCCTTTTTCGTTTGGCGACGAACCGGTGAACTCGGGTGAGGCGATATCAGCTACCTGCTCCATTCAAAAAGGAGACTTCCCGATGGACATTTCGTGGGCATTCAACGGCGAGCCGATAACCGACGAATATAGAGATCAGTTTATGATAACGAAGAGTAAACGTCTAAGTGTACTACAAATCGATGCCGTTGCCGCAAGACATGCGGGAGAATTTACTTGCACAGTGTCAAACAATGCCGGTGCTTCCAGTCACACGGCTGCTTTAGCCGTGAACGGTAATGCGCGTGCATGTCTTATACGGGCACGTCTCTATCTCTTTCTCTCTTTATCTATTTTTCTCTATTTCTATTTCTCACTAGCAACCTTGGTTGACCTATCCGCAAAGATAAGAAAAGTTCTTCTCTTCCTTCCTTTCTCTTCCTTTTCCATTCCATGTTGTCGTAAATTTACGACAGTTCTATTTCTAAATCTATTCTCGGAGATGAAAGCTATTTTCTACATGAACATTATCATACTAGGAATGTATTTGTAGGCTTAAGTGAGCAGACTCAAGGAATATTTTCATCAAACAATCGTGGCAACACGTAAAACGATCTTGCTATCTCTTTAGGTCGTTCACAAAATACTTCATTGGTTCTCTCGATAATCTCGTTTAGAATTGATTAGTTTTGATAATAATTGTCATACCTTTGCAAATCACTTACAGTCGCGCCACAAATAGTACCGTTTTCGATCAGCGACGAACCTGCAAATTGGGGAGAAGCAGTCTCGGCTGTTTGTACGGTCGGAAAGGGTGACTTACCGATCGAGGTTTCATGGGCTTTAAACGGTGAGCCTATTAGCGACGCCAATCACGGAGACGTTTCTATATCGAGCACTGGAAAACGGGTCAGCCTGATGACGATCGAAGCCGTGAGCGCGAGGCACGCCGGGGAGTATACTTGTACAGCCTCGAACGCAGCAGGAGCCACTAGTTATTCGGCTATATTAGCAGTAAACGGTACACAAAGGGACTCAGAAGCTTGTTCCTTCAATTGAAATCATAGAAATATGCATTGAACGATGTGTTCACTCTGCCATTAAATTCGCGTGCACACATTATTAGTTAATAGAAACGTACCGGAGCAATAATGCTTTCCTTTTTACTAATGTTTGAACAGGTCGCATCTTTCATGAATGTAACACAATTCTTACGATTGCAGTGCATTTTCCGTTTTACCCCTTTGAAATAATTAACATGTTTTTCTTTCGTTCTTCTATAACCATTTCCACTGTCCCTTCTTTGTCACCTTTCCTTCATTATCCAAGGGCATATAAAAACATGCCTAATGGGAAATTGATTAGCGTTGACGATCTTTTTTAGTATCACCGCAGATCGCACCCTTCTCGATCGGGGATGAACCGGCTAATTGGGGAGAGCAGGTTTCGGCAATTTGTAGTATCGTCAAGGGTGATTCACCGATCGATATTCATTGGAGCTTAAAAGGTGAACCGATCACAGCTCGCACGCATCCAGACATAACGATCCAGAAAACAGGCAAAAAGACATCTCTGCTAACCATCGACTCTGTAACCGCGCATCATGCCGGCGAGTACAGTTGCATCGCGAGCAATTTGGTTGGAACCGTCACTCGTTCGGCCGTTCTTTCGGTTAATGGTATATTAAAGACATTCAAACAACGACGTTAAAAGCATCGCATAATGCATCCAAACTTTCCATTTAGCAGCACTTTCTTATTACCTCAAGAATCCATCCAATATACCAGTACCTTTCTCCAAAATTATGAGCAAGTCCGTTTATTAAGGAAACTCTAGGCAGATTATTCTTAATATTAGTTAATTGCCTAATGTCTAGACTAGGAAAAAGGAAAGATCCTTTTAAACAGAATGAGACATCGTGTAATTATCGTTCTTTTTTTTCCATGAGAGTTCATTGATATTTCTGAGCACATGTTACTGTGCTTATTCTTTTCTTGCTGATTCGTGTCGCAGTCGCACCGCAGATAGGACAAATATCCTTTGGCGAGGAACCGGTTAACGCAGGTGACCTGGTCTCCGTGCAATGCGTCGTTACCAAGGGCGACTCTCCTCTGGAGATTACTTGGACATTTGATGGTCGTCCTATAAATCACGATCGGATGGATGTGATTGTATCTAATTCCGGAAAACGCGTGAAGCAATTAACCATCGAGTCCGTTGCTGCAAGACATGCCGGGGAGTACACCTGTGTCGCATCAAATGTAGCTGGTTCAACGTCTCATTCGGCCAAGTTGGACGTCAACGGTACACGTACTCCCTGATATTGCAACAAAGATCCCAATCTATTTCTATTAACTTCCTTCTACATTACCTTCCGTTCCGATGAAGCATAATCCTCTTTATGCTCAATACACTTCTATTTTCTTTATCGGTCTTCATTCTTCTTTATTTATTCAATTCGTTTCTTTCTATTTCTATCATTTTCATTTTCTTATTTTTCATATATTTTCGTTTTTGATTTGAACTCATTTAATGAATCGAAAAACATCTAGGGTGTGAAGGGCGAGAATCATTGGAAATGTCAAGATACTGAGTATTAATGAAAAACGGAGTACATCTAGAAGAATTTAGAGCAGTTATTGGGAGCGTGATGAGATTGCAAGATTAGTGAGGTAGCTTCTTTTCTACTTTATTTCTATTTCCAGTCATTCCGAAATTGTTGCCATTCGTATTCGGAGAAGAACCGTTAAACTCGGGTCAAGTAGTAACGGTACCATGCGCAGTGATTGAGGGTGATCAACCCTTGAAGCTCCGTTGGACCTTAAACGGTCACGAGATTTCGCCACACTCTGGAATCTCAGTGCTGGATCTTGGGGGAAGAGGCGTCATACTAAGCATAGGATCGGTCCAAGCAGCTCATGCAGGAACTTACACATGTATCGCGGAAAACCTTGCCGGAAGGCACGAGCTCTCGGACGATCTGATCGTCAATGGTGCATAACGATCTCTCTTTTTTCCTTTTTCAATCCCTTATATATTTTCAATGCCTTGTTCTAAGGATTTATCGTGGAAAATGTCACCAAAAGAATTATCCTCTACCAACTCCTAATCATTTTTTCAGTCCTATTACGAGTCTACTCGTGTTTTTCTTTTGATTTCTTCTACTTCGTCTTTTTTTTTTCTCGAACACGATCTTGTTCTCAGGAAAAAAACATAGGTTCTTTGAAAAAGTGGGTTAACGAGAGGTGGCGAAGTTCGTTTGTAAAAGACGTTAAATTAATGACGTTTGTCGCGTTTCTCTCTCTCTCTCTCTCTCTCTCTCTCTCTTTCTCTCTCTCTCTTTTTCTCTTTTTCTCTGTCACTCTCTATTTTCTTTGGCCTTTCTATTGCTTTTTTTCTCTCTGCCTATTTTCGACAGTCTCCCCGCATCTGCAGCCATTCTCGTTCGATGAGGCCAACTCCGGTGATCTGATAATCGTCCATTGCGCGGTCGTTAAGGGGGACACACCGATTTCGCTCAAGTGGTTGTTCGAGGGACGCCATTTAGAAGTAGGAGACGGAGTGGGTATCACCGCGTTTGGGGATAGAGTATCGGCCTTGACGATACCGTCCGTAAGGGGAGAACACGCCGGAGAGTATGCTTGCGTTGCCGATAATCCAGCCGGTCGTGCTAGGCACAGTGCACATCTCAAAGTGAACGGTACAGGAAATATTCAAAAACGAACCTAGAGGACAAAAAAATACGCGGCCAGCATGATCGTCGTCGATATTATTGCGTATATCCATAACGCGCTATTTGAGAACTTGCCGAATTTGCTATGTAAAAGAATGCGATAATGATTGAACGGGAAACTTACGTGACTAATTATTATATTTTGTTTCTGTGGGACTGTAGCTCGTGTAGTAGTCGATATTAATGAAGATAATGTATATATAAATATATATACATATATATATATATATATATA